CTGGTATATTCGACTGAAAGCGCTCAGAAGGGTCGAAATCATCGAATATCATAATTGGATGTGATTCTGATGAGGTTTGGACCGATTGGAGCGGTTCTTGTTAGTGGGCCGATTTCCGTTCTTATGCGGACTTCACCTTTGTAGAAATATCAAAAGTTAAATAGAGAAAACTTTTATTTAAGGTATCAAGAAAAAGTATCTTTATTGAATATACTCAAAAAATATCAACATAAATTGGCATATTTACAGTATGGATAGTTTAATTATTTCTTATTTCATGTAATGTATTCTAAGACAAAAGCGACCCATGTTTACAACATTTAATCAACTATTGAAATAAACATCAGCTAATTAATGGGGAAAATGGTGATTGAATGCATTTAACTATTCTGTGAAGACAATTCATTTTTACCAATTCGGTAGTCTTCTTGAACGCCTTTTTCCTGCCTGAGTCAAGACTGCTGTTAAACGCATAATCTGATATCCGAGCATATTATACTGGCTTCTAATGATGATGGATGCACTTATTCTTTACGCACAAATATATTTACACCAAACAAACGAAGATTTCTTAACTCTTCTCCCGTAGTGGCTCCAGCACGGCTGCTTATATATATTTATATAAATATATCTGCTGAGATATATTTGATTTTTTATTTAAGTGTACATTTGATGAACTACAGAGAAACGAGGATTGAACTTTGATTTGTCTTTAACCACTTACACTCAATTTTAACGCCTGTATGTCAAAGTAGATAAAAAAGTAGAAAATTCTATGCGTAAATATCGAAAAAGCATTTCGATATTTATCATTATCCCGTCCCCCCAAAAAAGTTCCCAACAATTTCTAACTCGCTCAGCCGCCTCTGTTCGAAGGTGGAGCGATGAGAACAAATGTTTTGTTGGGTGATAGCACTTTTGTCATGTTAATTTGTCGTCACATAGAAAAAAGAACTTTCGTCACACTAATAACATAACGGCAAACAATGCATTATAACGTGTAACGAAAGTTCGTGTACACAACAACGCTTTATTTTGCCGTTTTTCTCATGTTCTTATTGACTGTAAAGAACTGCTTGCATTTGGACTACTCTAGACCGACTACTCCCAAACGCAATAGACGCTTGATTTTGATACTTTTACACTAAAAAAAGACTTCAAAAGGGTTTTTTATGCGTTTCGCTAAGAAAATGCAATTTTTGTAAAGGTAACAGCAACTATTACTCCAGTTTGCACTACTACACTTTGAACTAATGAACTTTGCACTACAATCTTGATTTCATCGTAGCCGTTTCATGCAACGTCGGATGAAAGTGCCGTGCCACCTGTCTAAAAAAAACAGATACTTTCGTCACAACCGAAAACGAACTGACGTCAAAATGGGGTTAACTTTCGTAACCACTATGTAAACATAGCTAAACTTTCGTCATGTGACGAAATTTCAGCATTACCCGATGACGAATGGGTATAATGACGAAAGTGCTGTGAAATGTTTTTGTCCTAGGTTGTATAGTTTGTTAGAAGTAATGCCTTGACAGGTTTTTAAAGGACGGAACCACATAAGGTTAGAAATCGGCCCACTCTCTTTTCGAGTAATAATGGTTTCGTATCAAGGAAAAACGTACCAGTACTCAATTCCAGCTGGGATCAGATACATTTATTCACTGGAATCCCGTTAATTCCTCGACAATAGCACCTCAATTGAAATTCTCTACAAACTGAGCTAGTCAGAATAATTAATGACTCATTCATATTTTTAATCTCACCCCACCAGTCAAGATATGCTAACTAGTTCAGTTTGTAGAGAATTTCAAGGGCTATCGAACAGTATATTTTTCAAAAAAAATAATTTTTGTTATGGCAGAAACGATAACCAAAGGCGTGTTCTGGACCTGTTTTCCGCAGTCCACAGTGCTTTTTACATGTCTGTGATGCCTGGCCTCACCAGTCAAGATATTCTGACTAGCTCAGTTTGTAGAGAATTTCAAGAGCTATCCAAGGATATATTTTCAAAAAATATATAATTTTTCATTATAAATAGAAAAAATGACTAAAGGAGTGTGCTGTACGTGTTTTTTGTACTCCAACGCTTATTTTATATGTCTTTAGTGACTAGCCGCATCAGTCAAGATATGCTAACCAGTTCAGTTTGTAGAAAATTTCAAGGACTATCTAATCGTATATCTTGTTAGCCGTATGAGCGTAAGAATGTTGAGAAAAACACGTTTTACTTATCATGTGGGTGTTATTTTGATGATGCAGATTGAGGTGCTATTGTCGAGGAATTAACGGGATTCCAGTGAATAAATGTATCTGGTCCTAGTTGGAATTGAGTACTGGTACGTTTTTCCTTGATACGAAACCATTATTACTCGAAAAGAGAGTGGGCCGATTTCTAACCTTATGTGGTCCTGTCCTTTGATGCTTCGTTAATTTTCTGCAACGTCACTCCAGTGACTAATGAGAGAGAGAGAAAGAGAATGAATTATTAATGTTACGTCTTAACTTAATTTATATATGTGCAAGATTGTACTTTGATGACTTAAAATCCATTCGTAAATGTCAAATAAACGAGTTAGAGTATGATTCATAAAAGTAATAAAACAAATGTCTGAATTTAAAAGACTTATCAAACCAAATAGGGTAATCGTATATTCCTTCAGTGTTGAAATTTTTATTTAAATATAATATATACTCGTTATCTGTAACTTACGAGGGAAGGTCTTCAGGTGTTTCCCTGGGATTTCAAAGCAATGTATCCCACTTTGCTAATTTAAGGATGCTGATTATGAATCTAAAAACCATTCGTGCTCGCGTTCAATCCTTCAAGAGTTATATGCATTTTATTTTAATAGTAGCGAAAAGTATCATATTTTGAAAAAATCACAGCTTTTCATAGAAATGTTCAATAGAGCTGAGAGATATGCCATTCTACAGATAAACACCTTAGCTATAAAATGATATGTGTTTTAGCTTCAGAGAACGTTTGATTGTTAAGTAAAAAAATTTTAAAATGTTGCACATTTTTCACTTGTTTTATGTTTCTTTTTGATTCGCAAAGTGGGGTACATTGGTTTGAAATCCCAGGGAAACATCTGGGGACCTTCCCTCGTTAGAGCGATCTGAACTCCGATACTATTGTTCAATCAGAAATGACTGAAGAAGCTCTTCTCAGATCAATACGATTCTGAGATTGCTCGATACTAAAAACTATGATGAATTATTTTGCAATATGTAAACAACATTCTAGACTGATTACTAAATAGTTTATAAACGGACATAATAACGTCTAATAAGTTATCCAGTTTATATTCTAACTTACTGATGAATCCCCAAAAACCAATATTACGAACATCCGTCGATCCTACCGATAATGGAGTTCTAGAACGCCTTGCGTCATTTTTTCAATGGCCTGCAACTAGTATTTTTACGGGTACAATGTTAGCAAATGCTGGATTTTACTTTACAAATGAAAATGATACGGTAGAATGTCAAACATGTAAATTGAAAATATCAGATTGGACAAAAAATATGATTCCTTTCGACGAACACTTGCAACGTAGTCCAGACTGCGAATTTATCAAAAAATTTCAAAATAGAATGGGTAATATTTTATACGTAAATAATTACGTTAAAGTAGTTCAGGTGAAGCGATAATATTCAGCATAAATCTTGAAATTACTTAAAATTTACGAGTTTTGAAAATAAATTAATTTCTACAACTTATATTTCTAGATGTAGACAAGCAATCAACGGTTGTTAAACGAAGTGATCAACAGACGTTGAAACGACCAAATGCAGAAAGCGTCAATCATTCGAACGCTGATGAACGTTCACCGTATGATAATGATAAAACAATGATGGTAGTCAATGAATTCATCAATTCACTATCAAACGAAATCTTGACAGAAGTAAGGATACGAACGTTTTCAATTTGGCCTAAAACTAAACCTAGTGCTACAGACATGATATCTGCAGGATTTTTTTACACAAATATTTCTGATCGTGTTATCTGTATTCATTGCGATGCCATGTTTCATCGATGGATACAAACGGACGTTCCATATGAGATACATCGTCTCAAATCACCAAACTGTTATTTTATAAAAACAATAGAAAATAGAACAAGAAAGATGAATAGTAATCAAAATTCTTCAATTGTAACAAGGACAACGTTGAATGATAATGTTATTATGAGAAATAATAATATCATTATTAATGGCATAATAGCTAATCCCAGTTATACTGAAATATGTAAACGATTCAATTCATTTGATAATTGGCCGAAAGATCAAGTGTTACCAGCAATCAGTACTTTTGTTGGTGCCGGTTTTTTCTATACTGGTAAGCACTTTCGTATAAGTTTGACTCTAACATCAGACATTTGATATTTATTTAGGAGAGAAAACAATTGTAAAATGTTTCTGTTGCAATGGAGGTACTAACATAAATTAACAATCACTTTCTATTTTATTAACGAATTATTTAATTTTTCAGCACTGGAAAATTGGCAGGCAGATGACGATCCAAAAATTGAACATGCTCGCTGGTTTCCAAATTGTTCTTATATTAGAGAATATTTGGATAACGATCTTTATCAAGCTGTACAACGTCAACATAAAGAGCAACAATGTACGATTTCAAAGTAAAAGTTATTTTCTAAATCGTTTCATATATTTCTTAATAGTGCAAAGAGAACAATCCAAATCTCAACAACAATCGACTATTAATACGAATACATGGTCAGTAGAGGAGATAGATCGAATGGTGAGCGCACGTCTGGATTTACCTATTGTGGAAAAATTACGAAATGAAGGTTACACAATATCTATAATCAAGTATAATAAATTATTTCTTATCATACATACATTTTGCTTATTTATCCATTCTTTTACAGAAAGACATATGAAATGCAGTTAAAATTTAAAAGTTAATAGACAGTAGTTTAATTATAGTGTACCTCATTTATTCATATATGTATTTTATAGAGGATGATTTTAAAACTGATACTGATTTACGAATAGCATGTTATGTACTTAATAAGCAAGTACAATTAATTAATGGAAATGAAGATAGAATCATAGTACCGCAAAAACGGTTAAAAGATTCGTCAGAAACAAGAGAGCAAGATCAATTGGAAGAAGAGAAACAAGGCATCAAAACTGACAATAAACAAAACGGTTTAATAACTATAACTAGAATATATTCTTCGTTAATAATAAAAAACTATACGTTTAGATGAAAGCGCTGCACAATCAACAACCTCAACAATTCACACAAGTCGTTCACCAGTGTTATCAGAACCAAGTATGAAGAAGAATTATAAAATAGAGCATCTCAAATGTGAATAATTTATCTTTACTTTCTCACTTTGTCTGTTTCAGAAGAAATATATCCATGTGTTTTATGTTTAACAACTGAACGTCAAGTGGCATGCCTTCCATGTGGACATCTCATCTGTTGCGTCGCCTGTGGTCATAGTCTCCGTTTATGTCCGGTGTGTCGTGCTGATGTAAAAGCTTTTGTAAGAATTTATACGTAGAAGAAAACATCCAATCAAGAAACAAAGAGAAAGTATGAAGATACTTTTATCTACAATGTTCAACATAAAACAAAAATAATAAAACTTTTTTAATTATCATAATCGAGAATAAAATGTTATTACTGAACTATGAGAGTAAATTAATATAAGAAACTTCAATATTTTCAACTTTTTCATGAAAGGAATTGCACTATAAGAACATTAATTTCTATCTAGAGTTTGTGAATTTGTTTCTCGAAAGTAGTTTTGCTATGATAGATGGAGGAGATTATAGTGTTCAAAAGCAGTCTAAAATTATATAACTTCAAAACATTTTTCAGAGGTGATCAGTCACAAAAGAAATAAGAAGACGTGATCAAATAGTCGTCTTTATCAAAATATGCACATTTACTTTAAAATATTCTGCATTTCTACAAGAACGAAAATAGGATACTGGAACCATAGAGAGATGAGTACAAGTTTTCTTCTTTTTTTCTGAAGTAGTCTAACATAAAGAAGTTGTCTGATAAACTAAGTCAGTTTTTGAAATAACGGGTGTGCCAGGATAAATGTCCCTCTATGTATTTTCTATTTGTCTCGGGTTTCTTTAGGACCTTAAGGTTAGTGTTTTTTAAAAGATGCGCCGCACAAATTCAGTTCTAATTTCAAGAAAACTACGCAAATTATACGAAAGACGAAAAAAATGAAAACTTTCCAAACTCAAAACGATGTAAAAAAAACCACTAACCTTAGGATCCTACAGAAACACAAGAAAAATAGAAAATACGTAGAGGGACAGTTTATCCTGGCGCACCCGTTATATAGCTTGTTGTTTACATATTCAATTTTAACTGTTCAAAATTATAATTTGTTTTGTATTTTGTAAACCTCTAACAGAAATGTCTTCTTCTTGCATCTTACATACAACAGCTATTTCGGTGACTTCTCAATACTCGGTATATATATATATATAGACATGAGAATAATAATACATTCATTACTTTCAAACCAGATAAACATGGAAAATAAGATTAGTAATACAAAAAGAAAAAGAATCTCGTTGACTTTTTCAATAATTTCGAGTCCAATAAGTAATTTCTCCAGTTTAGATTGAAATTCGAATCTGGACTCAGATCTGTTCGTCTCGGTTTTAGATACTTTTCAACTATCATTACACAAATACAAACTGAAAAAAATCTATCAGACACTGAAGCATAAGACGAAGAAATAATAATTTCGTCTAATTTCGAAGATCGAAAAAATGAAATGAAAAGATCTTAAAGTTACCAAGCAAGAAGATATTTTGATTATGATGAATGGAAAGAGATTATATACTAGGATGATAACTACCTGTAGCTGCACGATCCAATGAATAAACGCAATTCGTCATTGAATTGCATCATTATCATTTTAACAATATGCTGTCATCTCATAACTTTTCTTCGCCATGCGGCTCTTTTTAGTTCCAGATATGTTTCTACTATACACCGTCAATGAGAGAGAAATGAAAAAAAAAACTGGAAGAAAAAAGTACAATTGAGAATAAGAACGACGTTAGCATTAATCATGTAATTGCCACATATTACAAAGTGATGACAAAGTTATTCACTAATGTACATAACACAGAAATGATTTGTAATAGAAATATTGATAACCTTTCATTTGATAGAAATTTTTTTAGATACTCTACGTGTACGAGAATGGTTTGGCATTGAATCAATCCTGTTTTCTGAAACTAATTCAAAGAAAGACACTTCAGCTCAACTACACAATAGTGAGAAGAGTGAAGTTTTTCATTTGTACACGTTCAAATTGCATTATATTTCAAAAGCATTAGTTTTGTTTCACCCCCAAAAACTCATTGAAATATTATCAAATCAAGCAATTCTTGAAATAATATTTCTGAAATGTTTAAAACGACAGTTAGTCACCTAACGGAAACCTATCTTAAAGGAATGTATCGAAAAATGAGTCTTTTCAACTTGAATAGCTCTTCGGAACAGAAAGCATAAGCACGCTATTGCCTTTTCTATTATCAAATTTTTATACTGAAGAAAAGGTCTTTTCTCAATAAAAAGATAAAATAACGCATCTTAAAGCGGATTGTTTCAGTTAAAGAGCACAAAATTCAGGTTCTGAAAGCTACGAGTTATTGTTAAAGAATTCTTCTTCTTCTTTCGGAAAACCAGATTTCCAAGTTTGAGACCCATTTAATCTAAATTCAGATTTGAACTTACCAGTTCGTAAGGCAGATCGAGTTACCGATGTGAGAAAAATTTCAAATTTTTTTTTTCCTACTTACGAGGGAACGTTTTTAAGCGCTCCTTCACTTTTTCAGCGAAACCTAGTGGGTTATAGGTTATCGATTATGCTGATTCCGAATATAAATATGAGAGCTGTTCTTTGGGCTTCGAAGACCCGGTTTTCTGGGAAACCAGTTTTTCAGAAACTCTAAAAAAACAACCCAAGCTTTTCTTACTGGCAATGGACATTTAGGGCTTTTCTTATAAATTCTATAACTTTGCAAAGAAAGGTCACGTAGAGTTGGGAGAGGTCTCATTTTAATCATAAATGTGCGGGCTACAAGTATGGGTCAGTAAGAAAAGCTTTTGTTGTTTTTTAGAGTTTCTGAAAAACTGGTTTCCCAGAAAACCGGGTCTTCGAAGCTCTAAGAGCAGCTCTCATATTCATATTCGGGATCAGCATAATCGATAACCTATAACCCACTAGGTTTCGTTGAAAAAGCGAGGGAGCACTTAAAAACATTCCCTCGTTAGTCGCAGATCGAGAATTTATATTATTCTTATTTTAGATTAGCCTCGAACGATTCAAAAAATTGTTCGATTCAAAAAATGTTCAATCCATACCTGCCGCAAAACAAGTATGAAAAATCGGTGGATAGTATGCTTACCGCAAAAACAATTATAGGATTGAGCAGCTTTGTAGGATGATAATATACTGTAACGTAGAAAATACATTATAGAAAAAAATTTGTGGAAAGTCAAGATCAATTTTTCCTAAAATCGGTATTTTCTAAAAGAATTGGTATTGAGTTTTGAAGTAACAAATCAATTTCATTGAAAATCGAACCAGTTTTCTATTCTTTTAAAAAATTGTTGTGAAAACTTCGTCATATTGTGTGCATATGTGCTTCATTTATTCTACATATGCTCTTGGTCATAGATAGTGATCAACCTGGACTACTTACGCTATGAGTATGAACTCCTAATCTATTTCCTAGACTAGGATATAAATACCATAATTTTGACTTTTACACAGTTATCGCTTTAGGCTGTTTACGGGACTTTTACGAAAATTTCCATAACTTTTGAGGTAAGTAAGGTCCGGTGAAAACATTTAGGATAGCTTCCTAAATATGTTGCTGCAAACTACTGTGAAGTTTTGAATGAAAAACTTGAACATCGAGTTAAGCATGGTAGGTCCGCTCTATCATGCAGTGGCTCTTTCAAATTCTTCGGGAGCTGCAACATTTCAATAATTCTTCTCTGTTCATAAGCTCTTTTCAGTGTTTGTCTCTTACTTTATTTTTATCCTTTTAACTTTAGAAAATGACTCGTGGCAGTCTTTATATGACTCAAAGTGTGACTCAGACTCAAAGAGTGACGACTTGCCCATCTCTGTTGCTAAATCACACAGTGTTTGTGAACAAATGATGTTATAGATCATACAAAATATTTGTTTAAATGTGATTAATATCGTACGTATTCATTAAACGATTGTGAACTCAACACAATTGTACCACATGATGATTCGAACTCAATTACAGCAATAATAAGAAATGATGCTAATCTTGAGGATCTTAGTTATTCATCTCATTTATCATCTTCAGTACGGCAATCTGTTCCACTTACATTTGTCAATATCTGTTTTCGCATTGTATATATTTTTGAATATCATAATACAATATTCCAACATAATGTTGGTTGAAATATAGCAATCTTTAGGATGCTGATCACGAAAAAAATTGATACTTAAATGTAATATTCGAAAGGGGACTGAACGAACATTTTATTTAATTATGTTAAAAGATTGTTTAAATCAATCACTGTATATGCTAGAACAAACAGACATTCTCGCTGAAGGAATATAAACTTTACACGAAGATCCTCTATGTTTTTCATTTATCACTAGATTGCGCAGTGCGCACACGTGTCCAGCCATTGCTGATATACTTCTACCAAAAAAAATACTACACTAGAATTTTTTTGTAAACCAGTAACTACTTTTTACTTAATTTTGTATCAAGTAGAGTTCAGCACAGATAAGCATCATTACCACATAACCATGCCATAGCCTTGAAGAACATCATTTATGTACGTATGTTTTGGACTTATGCCGTTGTCTCCTACTATTATTCAATCGTTCCATCCATTTATTGTAGGAGAATTTGAATTCAATTTGCGATGCCATTATTCAATTGCACTGATTAACGATCTAGCTCATATTAAGAAATAAAACAGGATGACTGGACCTTCAAACTAGATTTGACATTACATGTAAACCACACTTGTAGATTGTGAGCTATGTATATGTGAGACTAGCGATATAAACCAATGAAGGAAACTGCGGTGGCGACTGGAACCTCCCGAAATTTTACTACCTCCGGCGGCGACACATGAGAACGCCACAATTTTCTGTCGCCTTTGGCACCAGCTGACTTATCTCAAAACAAGGAAAACTTACAGAAATTGATTGCACAGAAACCTACAAGATTTTCTAAAGAAAAAAAAAGCTGGAAGACCTTTTTGGCTTCAGATCAGTGGGTGGACTTACATGTAGATATGAAACCAATTCGATCTTTTCTTTCTTCTAGTTTTCATCGTAAGTATCGCTATCACCACTTAGTCGACGTGAAGGTCTATTTACTAGTAGATTTGATGAAAGACGCTGTTCAAATGAAACGACATTTAGAAAACAAAAGACGAAATAGTGGAAGATAGATCAAGTATTTTTTATTGTCGTTGTTTTATCTATTTTGCATACGTTTATCTTAACGTTTTCTTCTCAAAGGGAAATTTTTCTTTCTATTACTCAGATATGTAGTGACTTTTTTTTATTCATACGCACTAAATTTTTTTCTCTTCTTTAATCCTTGAAATTAAATGTGGCTCAAACGTAAAAAGAGCATGTAGATCTAGTCAGTTGTGAAAAAAATCAAAAGAAGATCATTTGTCATGGAATAGAAATGATAGATGTAATTACACAAAACAAGAAAACAAACATGTGCGAGCCCGTGATTTTTCATTACTAAAATGTTATTCATCCTATGCATAATGCAATCTAGATCGTAACAGTAATTATGCATAATTAAACTGTTTTATTACGCGAAACTATGTGTATAGAACTTGTTTGATTTTATATGGGTTTTTATATGGGTAGTGTTCATTTCGTTCTTTTCCTTTTGTCTCACGTTTCAAAAGAAAAGAAAACGTTTATCGGTTTTATTACGCGATAGAGAAGAACCTGTGCGAATAACTGATATTTTCAGGTAGTTTATAGAACGTCAGGTAAGAGAAAAGGAAAAACGAAAATTAAAGTTTTGTTGTGTTTTGACTATTATTTAACTGCATACATTTTTTATTTCACGCAATACGTCAAATATGTTGAAATGTTCGAGTATTTTTAAGATAACGATATATTTGATGATATATAATCAACAACAACGAAATTAAATGATATCACAGATGCACAATGGATTATGTATATGAGAACTTAAAAATTTAAGTTATATATTCCAACTCTATTTTTGTTGTAGTATATGACGATTGTATAGATGAGTGTGATGGTGTTAACTATTTTATTCAGTTATTTGAACAACGTTATCAGCCATTTGCTTTTCGCACAGGAGTATTAGAACAAAAGATTAAAAACTTAATAGAATATGTATGTAACCATGATCTGCACGAAAAAATCTTTACGTCGATATGTAAACTTGATATATTTAGAATGAGCGTCCGCTGATATTGTATTTACACAATGATAAAAATGTAAAGTCTGATCAATTTTGTCGACAAATATTTTGTTCAAAGTCAATGACGAAGTATTTAGTTATGAATTATTTTGTATGGCCATGGGATTTTACATTTGAAACAAATAAGCAAAGGCAGTATAAACAATTTTAATTACAAACTGTTTGAAAAACAGTTGATTATTGTTATAGGCTGTTGAAACAAATATCCAGTCTTCTTGGTATATTTGAAGCATCAATAATTGATTCGATACCAGATGAAAATTATCCTCTGTTTGTTATTTTGATTCGAAATCAATTTGGAGATGTACAAATGATTAATCTATTACAGAGTGGCAATCTAAGAATGGATGACTTTTATTCTCAACTGGTTCAATCTCAAGATTTATTCAAGAAACAGCATCGTCGGATACAACGTCCTGAGATTATCTATCATGAGAAACAACGCCTACAATTATGTGCACTGCATTCATTGAATAACCTATTTCAAGCTAAAATATTTAAAAAGGCGGAATTAGGTAATAATTGATTGCTTGTATAAGTTTATTCATTTTTATATAAGACAAATGTATCTTACTCTCTGAGTATACTTGATATTTTATTCATTCCAGATGCAATCGTCGATCAGTACGACTCACGATGGTTCAACAATGCATATTCAACATTATTCTTCGGTAATTATGATTTACAAATCATATTAGAACAATTACGGAGGTGTGGTTATTCTGTTCGCCAATGTCGAGACAACCTTGATGAATACAACTTTGACGTGTGCTTTGGATTGATCCTAAATATAAACGGAAAACATTGGTTAACAATAAAAAATGTTCAAGGTCTTTATTATGATTTGAATTCAGAACTATCAAAACCGCTAAAAATTGGACATCGACTAGAATTGATCGATTATTTATACAACTTAAAATATACAAATAAACAACTACACATTTTTATGGTTAACGAGCAGTAACAAAGATTATAGTACATTTTTTAAATTAGACATCTGATTGTTCTATTAATTTTAATGCCATTTCCAAATTTCTTCCTATATTATTCGTTACGATAAAATGGATATGTGTTTATCAAATAATGAACTTTGTCGGATTCTTGTTCAGTAGTTCGCAATAGATTTTTTATGTGACCATTGTATCATCAGGCATTTAAGTGGCGCTAATTTATCTACAATTAAGGTATGTCCCGATTTTTAAACTTTTCATAATATTTACAGAGTAATGCTCTCGATATTAAATGAGCAGGTATATCGCTGAATTGTATGATATAGACAAACATAGCTCACATATAAACTTAGGACAAGGAAGAAAAACGGTGAAAAAAGCAAAATTTTCTGTTCATTTACCCTTAAAATTTGAGTCGATTGAGCTTGAGGTACATAAAGCTCAAGCTCGCGTTATAGTTTTTTTAGAAAAAAACTTTCAGTTCGGACTCAGACTCGCTCAGCTTTGTGGCACTAGTAATCTCTGTCGCGTGCTTTCAGCACTGAGAGCGCTCAAATAGTGACGTAAAAAGTGAATTGTTAATATTTCTAGGTACTTGATGTATATTAGCACTACTCTTCTGGGCCATAAGATGTTGCTGCGTAAAAACTTCGAAATTAGAAAGATGCGTTTGTATGTTATCAATGTAGGAAACCTGAAAGATCGGATTCTAAGAAAAAAGGCTATTTAAAACGGCAGCATAATCGCACTTCAAGATACTTAAATGCCTAGACATTTCTCACCCTTCACTTTTTGAAAGAAGAAGAAATTGTCTGTAACCAATTATAATTATCACAAAGAAGAACCGTTTGAAATACATATGTATACTAGAAACTTGTCGTCTAAAAAAACACATTTAAAGATCATAACAAAAAATTGTATAAGAACTGCACGATGTACCTTGCAACGCAATTTCGACAATCCTTCATAAACTTCTATTCAGTCAGACAGCGTATCGCAAAACTATTTCTTCCAAAGATTTTGATACTTACCAATTTGTCTCTATAATCCTACTACTTCATGTTCTGGACGGGTCTTACTTATTAATATTCGTTCGTTGTAAATCATGCTGATATATTCTTTACTTAAGCACCACATCGCAGTTCGACTAATTCTAATTTTCTTGGTTGATCGATTATGGTTTGTCAAAATGTTCAACTGAAGAATTTCATTGAGTAGTAAAAAGAAATCTGAAAATGAAAGTAAAAGAAAACATTATTTTAAGAAATAAACGGATGAAAGGAACTTTGAAGCCGTTAGTATCGTTTTATAAGTACAACAAAGTAACGACATCTTTACATTTACGTTTTAGGTGTGCCTATAAAAGTTTCAGTTGAGTCGAAAATACGTTGTAACATTAAACGCGAAGCAAAGCAACCTTTTGGTTCCAGAGTATAGTGACAAACGCCCATTTATCAACGGTCGAACCAATAGTCATTCCAGAATTCAATCAATCAGACGTAAGGCATTGTCCGGACTACAACAGTTAAGTGAGAAACTCGTAATCGTATTGATATGAATGAAATAGTTAATTCCAACTTAAGTTAATACTTAATATAAGTGAGAAAAGAGTGTAGTCTGGGCAAGGCCTATTCCAACAAACGAAGCCAACCTTTTTTTCCAGCTGGTATATTTTAACCTGAGGCCTGTTTCTCAAAACAACTTAAGTGCGGCCTGTTTCTCGAAAAAACTTAAGTTTTACTTAAGTGAATAATTCCACTTAAGTAAACAGGAAATTATACTTAAGTGTTTTTGAGAAACTCACTTAGGGAAAATATTTTACTTAAGTGAAAAATTTCACTTAAGTAAAGGTTCTAAGATATTTTCGGCTATGCGAACTGTTTTTCAAGCGTAGAATTCTTCGTAATTCATTAACGTTAATGACCTCGTATTTTCTTCGCACCTCATTATATTCCACTGTATAATAGGTTAATGTATCGGAGGTTATTTATATCGGATCACTATTTTTAATGATTGATGGGTCAGGCGAAGGTAAAGTGAGTTCCCACTTTGAAAAATGAATTCCCACGTATTGCTCACTCTGACGCAAAACATTCTACTTTGTTTTTTACTTTTGTTTTTGTTTAACTCACGTCTGAGGAAATGCGCAACGACAGTTGAGTTATGTAAATAGTAGTAGTTTTCTTTGGCATATATAAATCTGTAGCCGTGTACACTTGTTTAGTCTAGTATTTCTCGCGTTTTTTTGTTTTTGCTCAATAAATGTGAAGATATTTTCTCTTTCTTAAAAAAATCAAACTTTTAGTCTTTTGTACTCTATTTTTAGCTTAAAGAGGATAAACGGAGCTGACTACATTTATGGAAGTGAAAGTGCGCTGTGAGACATTAAAAGACAATCGAGAAAATTTTGTTCCTACTTTACTCACTTTTTTTCAGAACAAACTAAGAAAACCCATTTTGATATGCAAAGCAAACTGGGAAGTCCCATTTTGGAAAAAACTCTCATTACAAACACTTTACCGAATTTATATTATTTTCAGAAAAATTTGAGGAGATAATTAACATTTTAATCATTTTTAAAATGATTCCATTATGTGTCATTTCGTTTACGTTTGGTGAGTTTACTAGATCTCTCTCATTCTTCTGGCTATGGTCGTTTATTTATGTTTCTTATAGGTATGTTAGGTATCGATATGTTTTGCGATAATTATTTGTTAATTGGTGGTTATATGAATTCTGAACAACGCGAAACATGTGTCGCCTATTATCGAAATGCTCTCAGTCAACCATGGTACACACAACTCGTTATCCTTGCACCTATCCTTATCGGATTTTTATCTATTACTTATCGTCTGATTAACAGTCAATTGCGTACCATTTATGATATCATCAGTTTACCATTATTTTGTTTAGTTGTTTATATATTCGCTTTTGGTGTCAAAACAAATGGTTTTCATTTAGCAAAAACAAATAAAGTTCAGGAACAACTCGACTTGTTAATAAATATAGCATATGGTCATCTCTATATTATAGGGATATTAGCTGGTTTATTCGTATTACAATTACTAGCACACATATCGAATCAGGAAAAAGGAAAATTACATGAGCATCTTTCATAGTTCGTGTTATATAAAGTACCTTTCTGGACGAGCACTGATATTTTTGAGTCCATGTGATATTTTTTTAATTGTAGTATGTGTGTTTTTTATAACCAATCACTTTGTTTTTCTCTATTTATGTGATTTTTTTTTATAATGTTTATATTTTAATTAATTGTGTGAATTTTTTACGTTTTTTTATACTCATTTTGTTGAGTTTAATTACTTCAGTTTTCACTTCTAATATTTTCGTTTATAACGGTTTCATTAAACTATTATCCTTTTGAAAAAGAATACTGGTCAGTGTTTTTTGAATAAGTCGAGTACGAAAAGTTATAGATACTTGCGGTTTTCGTTATTTGATAGCCAAGACTTCAAAGCAGCCAGCGCTTTATAAGAAAAAAATTGTTTGAAATTATTGATCAGGGGCTGCTTAAAATGAGAACTAGTAAAAGCTGTAAAGCTAAAAACTAGTACAAGTTTCCGTATATTATACATGTTCTTTAAGCAAGTGAATCTGGATAATGAACGGTATTTATTGACTTTGTCATTTTATCCAAAATGTCAAAGTTTTGATTTTATTGTGAGTGTGAGAATCTGCGTAGAAACATCTTGGTGCTATTGGATGAAGGTGTGTCAAACAGTTTCGACTGTGTATATTTATCAAATATACATTTAATAAGTTACAGTGTAATACTTTACTATATAATCTGCATTTGACTGATTCATGAAGCGTTCGCAACTATTCTGTGCAATAATTACACACTATCCTTAATTAAATATATTTTATGAATTACCAAGCAGAATTATCATGTTTATTTGCTTGTTCAAACGTTTTTTACATAAACAGGCTTTTTGTTACCGAATTAAAATTAGAGACCCTTATTAATCAAAGGAAAATGCATATTCATATGGCTTCATGACCTCACCTAATTTATAAATAAAATTTTTAACAACAAAACAATATCATCATCTTTCAATGCATGATTTGAATGAATTTTAGTCAAAAAGCTCTAGGTAGGCAAATAGTAGAGCTAATAATTGAATGTAAAAATAGACCATTTATACATTTGTGGAGCACTTCTCTTCATCGATATTTCTATCTACATATTTTTATTCACACTGGTGAAATTAGACAGCGATATTTATTAACAGCATGTTTTTGCACTTGTTTTTTCATTTGCCGGTGAATTATTAGTTGTATTCATCATTGAGATCAATTCAGTTTTGGAAGGAAATGGTATCCTTTGTGCCTTACTATTTTCCAATTTGATCATTATTGTATTCAACAAAAGTTCAAATGATTCTTTTACATTCGTATTCATCAGAGCACTCGCTTCTATATAGCCAATATCCAATTCTCGTGCAAATGTCTTCGCACTTTGTAGACTAATCACACGTTTTTCGGCTAAATCGCACTTATGTCCAACCAAAACAATTTCGGGTTCATTTGCATAAGAATTCTGTTGTAACTGAGCGATCCAATTTCGAACACTCAAAAATGATTCTTCATTGGTTAAATCAAATACAAGTAAAAAGCCCATGGCATCACGGAAAAATACATTTGGTAAACAACGAAACGTGTCATCCACTAACGTCAGCTTCATAAAAATAACTTAAACTCCCAAGTTATCTATGTGCGAATGTCTTTAGAAGAAAAGACCTAAACGTTCTTGACCGGCCGTATCCCTAAAAAAAGGTAGAACAGAGCACTGTAGTACGATGTGCCAACGAAATTAAAACGTTTTTATTTCATAGGACTAATGATGTTCTAATAGTAGTAAGTCACATGTAACGGTATCTAGTGAATGATAAGAAAATTTTCTGTCATGAAACTGTAGCGCATCGCTTTTCTCTATATCTAGCCGATCAGTTATTCAATTGTAAAATTAATATTAAAAGTCTTTACCATAACGCTAAATGTATTTTCCATAATTTTGATGGTTTTGTACACATTGATTTGTAATAAACGTATTTATCGCGTATATCAACTCCCAAAGTGGGAGCCAATTTGTCATTGTATGTTCCAGCAACGTAACGATTCAATAACGAAGTCTAAAAATAATACAAAGTCCAATAAATACTGCTATCTATACATTGACTGAAAAATTATGTTCACCTTTCCAACACCAGAATCACCAAGTGTTAAAAATTTAAATCGAAGATAATCAGATTCCATTTTAGTGGAATCATTCGAGTAGTCGGTTATTGACATTTTAGTAATATTATTTCTTCAGAACAAAATAATTGATTCTGGACATATTACTAAAACCGTATGATTATTAAAGCATGTATTGCTGTTAAAATACGCAAGAATAAAAAGAAACGGAATGTTATGCTTGAATAAATATCGAGCATAAAGGTAGTCACAGTTTAAATGTCTTAACGCTAGGTTTTAGAATTTGAAAGAAGAATTTTTTATTTTCTATCAGAGATTTAGGCCAGTCATACTTGGCGTTAATATATGTTTTGGTGCTGTTCAACTGAAAGAAAAAGAAATGGAACTACAATGTAATGAACATTTAGGAAAAATTTTTCAGAATAAATTAATTAATGTTATATGCGAAAAAAACTTTTTATTGAACATATTCACAAACTGTTGTTTTCCAATTTTAATAAAAAAATTTTATCTAATCATTTTCTAACCACGACACTTTATTCACTCTAATATCTGACTGAGTTCAATAACATATAAAATGTCTAGAGTGAATGACGGATCAATAGCAAAACTTCAACGCTTTTTTTTGTTCGTACTATATAGAATAGAAGGAGAAATATAATGAACTACCAGTGTAACATGATATGCTCTATTTATATTAAAGGATAAATCTGTTCTAACTTTCAGAATACAAATAAAAGCATACGTAATATATGTCGATGACATAATATTTTTAAGTAAAAAAATAATTAATTAAAGCAATAGAGTTGATATAATCGATGAACCATTTAAATAGAACGATTGAGCAAGTAGACAGAAAAGAAGAAGAAAAGTAGAAACTATAAATAAAAAATAATATTGCGTATATTATGAACATTTCTGTTCACATTTAGTGAGACGAATATAAACCAACATAAATCAGTTTAACTACACATCAGCACATTCTTATGACACCAGAAAATCATAGTTTACTTGTCAGAATGGGAATAGGAAAATAGAATGATTTTCGGATTTTACGTATGAAGTATCAAAATACTGTGAGCAAGCATATTTCAACCACAGTACAATATCTTCTTCAATTTGTTCTAGCACAATTAAATTGAGTTTTTGTGAAGTAATGATAACATATAGTTTGTTTTTTTCTTTCATAAATAAATATAGCAGACCGAATCTCAAGTTATACATGTCCTATCGATGTTGCCATCGATCATTTGATTATTCTATATATCAATTTTTTACAAAAAGTGTTGTCAAACTATTGTCGAATATTTTTTCCTGAACTATGCGTGAGGTCTCTGCGAAAGAAAAAAAGGTTCGCTCATTACATTGACACCCTATAATTAGCGTAGATATTAAAAGAAAAACTCCTTTCTTAAGGATTGCTACACCAAATTTAATAATTTTTTTATCATCATAGCGTATCTCCAGAGTATTGCCATTTCTTACTTTGACATTGCCAACACTTTATCTCATTATGTTACAATTGAACATATTAAGAACTATGACGATTCTGTTGAATGAAAAAAACCGTTACTTCCTGAACTCCGCACACTTTTAATAAAAAGTGACTATATTTATATCTAGCAACTAAAACATGGACTGTAAGAAATAGAAAAATATATCGTTATATCATATATTCTTAATTTGATTGTGATATTTCGTCCGTACAGCGAAAACCTACTGCTACGCTTCTTTATTTGAACATAATTTACATGCTTTGTAAATAATATAAATGATGACTGATACGACAAATGATTAAAAATCAAAAAATTGCTTGGAAACTGTTGGAGAAATTGGGACAGCTAATAATATCAGAAATGTGTAATCAAATCATATTAGAAATAATCAAAAAGGGTCAGTAGCATGGCGCTGTATCAACATGGAGTGTAGTGCTGCGATATTAATTCATTCAAACAAGTCCTAGCACATACGAGATATCAACAAGAATTAACTAGACAAAAGCCAAGCAAGAAACAACATGTATCAACTGAGAATCAAGCATTTTAAATTGTGTATAAATACACAAGTGTATGAACTGGGTGAAATGAGTCTTGAAGAATATATGTCCAGTGTATATATACGATGTATTTTTCTAATTCTTACAGCCCATGTTTTACTTACTAATTAAAAAGTGTGCGAAAATTGAGATCACGTACATTTCGAATTTATGTAATTATGTGCGGAGTTTGGAATATAGATATAGTCACTTTTTATTAAAAGTGTGGGGAGTTCGGGTATGAACCGAAAAAACTGATTAATTAATTAATTATCAGAATTAAAATATTTTAATATTCATTGTAGATTCACGCGCTACTCAGTAATAGATGTAGGAGAAAAATTTGAACTAAATAAATACTGGTTAGAAAGGCAGAATCATTTTCATACTGATATTCAAGTAAAATTTTTATGAAATCTATAGTCGCAATTTAGTTGTGAAATAAAGACTTTATATAACGCGTTTTCTTTCTCTTACTGCTTAAATGTACTTGATAAGTCGCCAGTTTATTGGACAAGGATTATCTATCTATACATGAGTCTCATGTCTATGACCACATGCCTTATCTACATAAAACTCTAGTGAATAATAGTTAATTATGATAAAATCAAATCGTGATATTCGAAAAGTGCCAAAGTTATCCTTGACTAAAGGGGTGGACGCATTAAAAGACCCGGGGGGTCTTCTATTGTGTCCCTTAAAAAAAGGCATATTTTTCGGCACCCTTAGCAATAAAACACGCTGTTCAAAACTGCTGTATTTGACGACATTTTGTTTCGTTCAGAGAAAGAAAAATATTTTTGTGCTTCAGCTACAGAGATGCATATTCAAAATGCAAAAGTAAAAATGTTTGCAAAAATTCTCAAAAAATCAACCTTTGTTAAGGGGGGTCTTCTATTCTAGGGGAGTCCTCTATTCTAGGAGGGTCTTCTAATGTGTCCACCTCTTTACACGAGCTTTAGACTTTTGTCGAAGGATAAACTTCCATATAAAAATCAGTTAGCATTCAAAGAATTCGAGCTAGATATACGACACTTCAGTCGCAACTATGCTTTCTTGTAGTGATAATTCTCGATAATTCGAACTCTATAATTCACTATTTAATTCTGACAAAACTACCAATTTTTTATAATGATAGAGTTTTAATATTCTATCGCTTGATATATTATCACCCTCACCTAAAGAAAGCGCAAAATAGATTTGATGTTCTATCCATGGTTCACAAAAAATAAAAGACATAGTAGACACTTTTCATCTAAAAAGTTCATCTTCATTCTAATAAAAAAGAGAGTATGCTAAATCAGCAAAGTGTCTAGCTCTACCTCGACATTTTTAGAAATATAGATAGATTTATCTGAAAGAATGGCTGAATGAATTGTTTCTTTTCGGTTGTGAATGAGTTGTATGACAGCCTGATCGGGTAAACTTTTTCGAGATTACAAATTAGAATCAGTTATTAGAAGAATATTTTTAACTAGCTCTTCTGAAAACTTCTGTACTTGTGCCGACGCATTATGCGAAACAATGATGGCTGGCGCAAACGAGTGAAGATGTGCTGCAACTGATTTACGCCATCCGATTTACATTGATTTAGCTTAACAAAGAAACCGTACAGTTCAAAAAATTTATGAGTGATGCAAAATCTTGTTAAACATGTCATTTTTTTATTTGCTTGATGGTAATATACAGTACTTGTCAAAAGTACCGACCCCCCTTGTAACTCAAGAACCATGATAGCTAGAGACTTCTAATTTTGTGTGGACATAGCTCTTATCGAATGCTG